CTTTCGAAGTGAAACTAGATCCTTGATCTGATTGCACTTCCTTAGGCAATCCAAATTTCGTTAATAAATTCAATAGGGCCCCGAATATTTTCTTCGCATATATGTCCCTCAGCGGTAAAACATCGGGAAATCTAGATGTCGTACATAAAATTGTGAAGACATATTTATTCCCATTTTTGGTCTTGGGTAGGGGTCCTACACAGTCACTCGGCTGAATGGTTCCTCTGCTTCCGGGATGGGTTGCAATGGAGCCGCCGGTATATTCGGGTTAGGTTACCGGCTACTTGGCATACATGGCATGTATTGCAATAGTTAGCCACGTCCCGATTTAAACCCGGCCAATAAAATTGCCTCGCTATATTATCGTAAGATTTGTTTATTCCTAGATGACATGCTAACAGTATTTCGTGTGCTATTTTTAGGATAAGTGATCGGTAAATACGAGGCAATATTATTTGGTCTCTGTTTGCCCAGTTTTTCTCCTCAGGGATATCACTTGGTTTCCACCGTCTCATGAGTATCCCATTCTGGTATAATATTTCGCCGTTCCTTCTCGTTTAGAATCGTCAGCAGCCAGTTCAAAATATTTCTTCATGTCCGGATAAATTTGTTGTTGGTCGATAAGATCCTCTCTAGTTTCTTGGCGATGTGGGATGTTTTTATTAACGTTTTCTTTATCTCCTGTAGATCTGAGGGTTATCCTGGCTTTTTCGCTGCATTTCGGCACTGAGGATATTCCTTCTTCTGTTTACTCTCACCCATTTCTTCTTTATCCGGTGCCCTAGACAGTGTGCTCGTTATAATTCCCGTCGCGGTGTCCCTATTTTCTGGGTTTAATCTCGGCGTTTGTTGATTGTCTCTTCGTTTTCGGTAGTAACATTTACTTTCTGACCGGCTAGGTCGTTTCCCATCAGCATATCAACATTTTTCATGCGTAGTCTATCTATAACTCCCACTTCTATCGTTTCCAAGATCCATTTTGACTTTATATCCGCTCGGTGGATAGGTATCATCATCGATTTGCCACTTATTTCTCTTATATACACGTGTTTGTCTCCTGTGTCTCTCACTATTTCTGCTATCCTTGACATGCGTCAACTTTCCCACCGCTATGAACGGTTCGTAGCCGTCGGGTATCTCATTCATAGAGACTTGACATCTTTCTCCGACTATTACAGTTCCTATCAATGTGTCTGCCCTTGCAGCACTGATAACTAAAATGTTGGGCTTTCTTCTTTTGTTTGAAGCTTATTTTCCATGGGTACACTCTCGCCTGGCGTACTGTTATTCTTACTTCTAACGCTATTATGTCTACTGGGTATCACCACACTGTTTGGTTTGCTTGCTCGACATATTTATCCGCCAAATTAGGTAACCTTTGAGCGTTTTCGGTAGTTGCGAAACATTTGTCTATAAGCTTCAGGTACTAATTCATATGCTTTCAGTTATTGCTTCCTTCACCTTTTCGTAGTCCCCACATTCGGCGTACTTGTTTTTGGCCACTCCAGATTTCTATCCGTTTTTTCAGAATGTTGGAAGTATACATCTACCTCTTTTTCTCTAAATCGAGGCATCAATCTCACTTGCTTTGCTATGTCGAACTCCCTCGTTCGAGTTTCATGAATTTTCTCCTGGGATTCGAGTTCTAGCCTTCTTATATCCTAATCAATACGAGCCTTTTCAATTTCGGCTCTTGTTAGGATTCTCGACTTTTCTAACTCTATTTGTGTTGCCGTTAGTTCTTGATTTTCCACTTGTATCTGGTCCAATATATTTTCATCAAACACCTCATTCTCCACCACATGCTCTGCTCTTATTTTAATAATTTATTGGGCACCTCCAGGTGGTATAATGGTTAGCAAGTTTGTCTCGCTAGAACAATTACGAGTGAGTTCGAGCCTCACTGGGTGACCCCTAATTTCGGCCTTGTGCCACATGTAAGCTACTCTTGAAAAATCACTATTTTAATAATTTTAGCCTTTCTCATGGCTATCCTGACGTCTAGTTGGAAATGCTGCCCCACCAAGAATGCATCCTCCTTTTTCAGCTTCAACACTTTTTCTGTAGTTGGTTTTCTCAGAAATTCGTCAGTCATCATTACTTCCTTGCTTCGCCTTAACTTATTTATTTCTTTATTCTCTTTCATCCACCAAACTGTCTGAATTCCCGGATGATAGCCCCCAGTTATATCACGAGCGGGGCGACACTTCGAAGTATAAGCGAATTTTCTCTGATGACCCCAGCTGCTGTGTCATAAAAACATATATATATTTACGTGGGATATTCTATACCCAGATTGGCTCAGGAATGTGGTTCGGGTATAAACATGGTTTCAGACAAAATTTGGTTAACAGAAAGAAAGCAGCAAATTAAAGGTAGCAACGATTTATCCAAATAAATGATGAAGATAAAGCGGTCGTTACAATAAGAAAAGAATTTAATTTGTAACTTGAAAGAAATAGATTTAAGAGTGGAGATAGTTTTGAGGTATGATGGAATAAAACAAAATGCTTTTAAATTCAATGTTCACATAAGGAAGAAAGTTGTAGAGAGCGATATCTCAGACATTTCAATGTAGAAGGCAATATTCTACAAAAGAAAATTATTTTTTTTACTTAGCTTTCTGTCCGTTCGTAGCAATCCATCTTTTTCGTTTTGAAGAGCGTTTTCCTCTAACCGTTATTATGTCACGAGGGTTTTAAGACTCTTTTTCTTGGTTGTCATGGATATTCTCTTCACAATATATATATATATATATATATATATATATACATGTATGAGTGCGTGTTTGTATATGTATATATATGTGTGTGTGTGTTAAGACGCTTCGGAAGTTTCGGGGATTGATGAAGACCAGTGTTGCCTGTCTACCTAAACTTCTACTACCTGCCCCTACACGCATAAAACATAAATTTACATTGGATGTCGGAGTAAATCCATGTGCCAATATTTTACTGTATATACTAAAGTATAACATTATTTTAAAGTATGAGAAAATTGTATGAGAATTATTATTGTTTTTTATTGTTGCTTAAAATTATTTGAAATATGGATAATAATACAAATTGTCTGGTAGTAAAACTAAACAAAATAACGTAATAACTGTGAACGATTTTCAATAAAATTGAAAGTACGTTACTTCATTAAACAATGTATTGTAAATTAATATAAAAATGTAAAGGAATACATTATAACTAGAGAAATAAAATATATTAGCGAAACTTACAGAAATTTAAAATTAAATATCTATGAACATGCCGACGAGATTTATTCTGCTACAAGTACGTCATGATTTCTTCAAGCTACAATATCTGCACGAACATATCACTGCAGAAATGTTCTGTGGAGTTTGCTGGGAATGTCTATACAAAATATTTTGCATAGGATATTGGCACTAAAATAACTAATCTTTGTTGCTCGAGGCAACAATATGGCCTCCTCATGAATCATTTCATCCACTCTTTCTAAGCGTTGAACAAACCATCGGAAAAAAGCTCCGTTGATTGATGCTTTACAGATCTGTATGCTAGTGTTATCCTTTACTCCAGATAATACTAGTAATGTATTTGGTTTAAGGAAATCCGAGAGTACAAACTTCTCTTGTAGGAAGTCCAATTTCGGCGATGGATATTGATTAGCCTATGTACAGAGATTATTCTGCGAGTATGCAACCCTATACGCAAGAATCGCGAGCTAAATTCCATCATCATCTCTGTTTAAAGTTACTATAGTTTGTAGGAAAACAGCTATAGTATTAATGTTTATTAGCCTTTTGCATGATATAAGAATTACAGCATGACTAAATGGCAAAAACTAAAGCACAGAATAACTATCACATGGTGAGATCAGGAAAGAGCCGAATAGGTCTACGAGAATCCATGGTCACGAAGAGTTTAGAAAACAAAATTTAGATTGAAATGGGAAGGCCACCTAACAAAAGGATTAAACAAAAATCACATTTTGGATTACATTAGGTTAGAAACGATGACAGAAGAAAATTGCCTGATGACTGGAAGAGATTCCAAAAAATGTTAGTACATGAGCGGCATGTTGTTGAGAGATGGGAAAGATAAAAATGAAAAAAACAAAAAAAAAACCAAAAAAGAACGACCAAAACAAAGATAACAATGTGTCAAGAATAAACATTTAAACATTGTTGACAAAGTAGTGCGACGGGAACATCCTCTTAGGAAGGTAAAACACAACAAACGTATGGCCTTGTTCTATACTTGCAAGAATTTACAGAACATGTGCCATACCTGCACGAATTTACAAAACATCAAAACTCAAGACAAGTGGAAAGAAACATGTAATAAAAGGAAACTCATGCTAAATTTGCATGAAAGTACAAACATGAAAAAGAAGTACATTTAAACACAGATGAAGCACAAGAAAAACAATGAACTTATCTTGTAATAAAAGTTCTTTTCCACTAATGTCCCTTATATCTTCTTCTTTTTTCCCTCATTTTCTATTTCTTTTTATATGCGTCTCGTTTTAGGTCTTTTCTTTCTTCCTCTCTTTCCCTTGTCTTCCTGCCTCGGGGCTTGGGTGATGAATAAGTTAAAACTGCTTTCTCTCTTTCTTTCGTCTCGGTGTAGCAGCATTCTTGTTTGAGGTGGTCTTTTCTTTCTTTTCTCTTTCGTCCTTTGTTTAGGGACTTGGGTGGCGATTAAGTTTAAACTGCTTTCTTTCTCTATCTACTTCATCTACGTGTGGCAACATTCTCCTTTGAGATCCTTTCCTCTTCTCTTTCCGTTTCCAATAAGTATTTTGAGATCTTTTTTTGCTTTCTTCTTTTCTTTATCTATAAGCGTCTGGTCTCGGAACTTGGGTGACGGATAAATCGAAGCTGTTTTCTATCTCTCTTTCGTCCCGATTTAGCAGCATTCCGCATATTTCGTAGTTTATTTCCCCAAAATTCAAACATTCCTTTCGTTACACGCGCTTGCATTCGGTCGTCCGTTCGAGGTTCGAAGAGTGACTTTTCTTCTGCATAGCCAACCTAAACATTTGCGTTCATAGCAAATGTATCCATCTAATCCATTCGAAGATGAATTATCTTTCTCGGATTTTCGCGAACTCATCCGGTCGGCCCTTAGGCCTGGGCAAGACTAACTTTTTCGTTTCACTATTTGTTTCATTTTTTTCTTGTCAAGTGGTCAATTTTTTAAATACGAACTTTTCCCCATTGTGTTCGAAATGAGGCCATTGTCTCCCTGTCTCAGTTGTGGGGTCAGAGAAAGTTTAGTTTAAAGTGTTTCAACTTTTCCTATCTGGAATTTATCCGTGTAAATCATGCTGTCAACACATTAACCAAAAGAGAAGGAAAGGGTATATTCTGGTTAATCTTTGTCGTCACTAAATCTCCCTATCTCTTGGGCTTACTATCTTTACGTTTCTGCATGTACTGGGCTCTGTATTTTAGAATGCAAAGTGCTTCTAAAATATAAGCAATGGTATAGTTTTTATAATAAATTTAGGTGGGGGTTCGTAAATATATATATATATATATATATATATATTTCTGAGATGAGGTATTATGTATTCTATTTACATTATTCGGATTATTGTCTGAATCTTTGTTGCCATATTTATCAAAATATTTCCGCCGTTATAGGCTCCGGCCTTCTTCAGGTGGTTGGAATGTCGAACTGAACCCTTTATTTCGCTCTTGGGGTAGACTATTCTAGTTCCACGTACCATGTCTAATGGGTGTCAGTTATCAGTTATTTGCAGTTAATTCACCTCTCTAAGATCTTCACTGCCTTAACCAGGTATTGAACTCATAACTATTTGTGTCCTGTCACTGGATCTAACCAACGCCTTCATCCACCGTGCCATGTGTCCTTAAAGGCATCCGTTTATGAATGTTTTTGCTGCATTTGTGAATGAGATGTGAAACAATGTGTTTTCTGGTGTCTGTTAATTTGTGTATGAAAACTGTTGTTATTGCTTGAGCCATACCTACATAAGATTTGTTGCACTTTGTGCACCTGAGTGCATAAAACACTTTTTTTTGAGTTTATATTTTCCTTTATTGTTAATATTCTTGTGGGTTTTGACATTATATAAGGAAAGTCCAAAAACTTTCCTTCTATAATGGTATCAAAAACCCCTCATGTATTCTTGCTGCATTTTTGACCCATTGCATTATATTCTGATTAAATTTGAATGAGGTCATTATGCGTTTTATTTTTTTTTAATTGGCGTTTGCTTTTAATTATTTTGTTTTCTAATATGTCTTTATTTTCATCATTCTTGTTAAGTATGTCTAGATTTCTTATGGATGACCTATTTTTTTAAAAGTTTTATGTATTTCTAATCGGCGGGGTTTTCAGAAATGTCTGTCGGCGACGATAGTGAAAATCCTACCTGGATGGAATTAAAACAGCTTTATGGATGACAGCTCTTGAAAAGTAGATTTTGTTGGGGGTCTTTAGGATTGTTGTAGATATCTGTGATAATGTAGTTATTAATATTTCTATCCAAAGAATTCATCCAAGAACATAATTTTAGCGAACTGCCATTCCTAGATATACTTATTAGAATGGCAGTTCGCTAAAATTATGTTCTTGGGTGAATATGATCTTCGGGTGTATGTTTTAGAGTAAACTGTGTAATTAATTAATTTTGCCCCACGAGAATTTTCCAGAACATGAAGCGATCACCGAAGTATCGCTTCCAAGGTTTAGTGAATTGGGATTTTATATTTTCGCGATATATTTTTTTTCAGTCATATCATAAAGGTTTTCCTCTAGATAAAATAAGGTAAGGATAATATATGTTGTCGTCCCTTTCGTTCCAATCGTACTACCTATAGTTTGGGTACAGTTTTTGTTGTCACATTCAAAATTGTTGTTGTTCCGGATTAGGTCTATTCTATTAATAAAGAATGCTTTGGCGAATATGAGATGTAGTATTTCTGAGTGTTTTCAATCCAGAATGAGATTGTCCGTTTACTAAATTCATGGGGTATGTTGCTACATAGGCTACTAATGTCAAACGTTGCCATGAGTATTCCTTTTAGTGGTATGGAGCTAAAGAAGTGGATATCGCCTTTGATGTAGTTTTTATCTGTTTAGCAAATGCTTGTATTATGATGTCTATTAGGTTTCTTAGTTTGCTAGTTGAACAGGCTGGGCCCGCTACTATGGGTTTGAACGTAAGGTTTACTGGAGTTTGGGACGTTAATACATTCCGATTTTTGTGTCTGGATAACTGCTTTCATTTCACTCCATTAGTGAATTTTCGGCCGTCCTTAAAAATTGCAAAGTAATATTCTTCCACCAGTCCAAAATGATTTGTGATTACTAATACAAACGAAAGACAATTAAAAAAAATTACATCAGAAAAAGTAGTTTCTTTCAATAATATGTGGAAATAATCATTCTTCGACTGGTGAAGGTCACAAGAACAGAAACACGTGTAGCACAAAATACAGAAAATAAAATATAACATATAAAATCTTCGACCTAAAATAATAGACAAAAAAGTTAGGTTAGTGGTGTCTTCTCTTTTTAAAATATTTATTTTTATCTTGCTGGAACTACTATAAAGTCTCGATTTTACATTATATATATATATATATATATATATATATATATATAAATGTGCGCACCTATACGTGCGAATGTAATTTTAGCATGTGATAAGTTAGAATTTAGTTCGCAAAATATATGTATTAATACAGACGTTGCCACACTTATACACATTTCTCACCAATGAAAAAATACACTTTACGCATAATAAAATAATAAAAAAAAAAAACAATTATTTCGACGCAGGTAAAAAAAAAATAGCGAAGCAACGTAATTGTCATGTGGCAAAATAAATTTGGATAGCATAGTCTCAAGAATTTCAATTTGTCGCGCAAATAAAACTCATATAAGATGAATGGAAGTAGATATACTTGAATCAATGATCGTAACAAAAAAAAAACAGTTGTATTGTTTGATATCTGCTTGATTGCTTTATTAATTGTGTATTTTCTGATGTCTTTAGCTATCTTTGGGTCAGCTTCAGGTTTCAATTTTACCAGAACATAACATTTCATGTCATGAACTGCTATAAATTTTTCTTGCAGGCTTGCAGAGAATTGACGTCCTCTCCAGTAAGCAAACTGGGCAAGGATAAAAATAAGTAATAAACCCAAAGTGCAATATCATCTATTAACAGTACATACACCTTTAATAACTTGGTAGTGAAATATAGAATTTTTCGGTTTTCTCTGAATTGACTTTGATAAAAATTTCCCCAGGTGGTTTACCCAATATGGCAACACTATTGTTATGTTTTCATTATTCAGTGTAACACCCTTTATTTTTATTACAGATTAGACAGTTTTGGGGTGAATCACTCTGTTAGCGTCTCTCCCCTTTAATTTAATAGACATCATAATACAAGCATTTACTAAACAGATAAAGAACTACATCAAAGACGATATCCACATCCTTAGCTCCATACCACTAAAAGGAACACTCATGACAACGTTTGACATTAGTAGCTTATATAGCAACATACACCATGGATTTAGTAACAATAAGACGTGGAAAATGACTCAACGATGAAGAAATGTCTGTAATTATCAAGGAAAGCGATGAAGGGCCATCGCTTCATGTGATTGCGGAGAAGCTTGGTCGTCTTGTGGGCACGGTTAAATTATTCCTGAGGGATCCTTCGCCAAGATAGAAAGGATTCGATTGTGGAACCAACAAAACTGTGCAAGCTACGGACATAAGCAATATTATCCGAAAGTTACGTGGGAAACTCGGGCAAACAAGGATAATTATTTACATTGCCGATGGACATGCTCATGTGCCGAAAATCATCATAAATCACATCCTCGGGACAACGACATTTGAGCGAGGTCCCTTGAAACTACCTCCTTTAATGTTCATCCACAGGAAGTTGAGACTTCAATGGTCTCAGAATTACAGGAAAATGGACATAAATTGTATTCTGTTTACTGATGAGACCAAGGCGACTCTTGACGGACCTGCTTTTTCGGTTTATTCGGGGATGAGATTCACAGCGTTTCCAGCGTCAAAAACAGGGTCATAATATATGCTGGTATTAAAGGAATCAGACGTAAATGGCACAGTCATGGTACCTGAAGTATTCAATGTGATCGCAACCCTCTACTGACATCTGCTGAAAGAGGTCTTGGATCCATGTTTAGATCACATAGCTCTGTCACTTTTAAAGACCCTAGTATTAATGCTTGACAAAGCACTCTCCCACTATGCCAGGTCGCCAAAGCATTCCTAGAGCTCTCTTACGGCATACAAGATGAAATGTTAAGGCTGTGGCTGCCTGCCGCTCCGGTTCTCATCCCTATCGAAAATCTTTGGTCCATCATTATACAATAGGTTTTTTGCCGATGGACTCCAATTTACGTCGAAAGATAGCTTATTGGCGACCATCGATTCTGAAGCAGTGACAGTCAAACCTGCTACTTATAAAAAAAAATTGACAGATATCCTGACTAATATGATTTGTGAAGTTATCCGTCGACATGTCGCTCGTGTTGCCAAATAATTAAATGTCAATAAAGTATTTAATATTATTACATTTTTCTGTTAAAAATAGATCCAAGATAAGATTAATATGTATGATCACACTTTATTTTCCACCAAACAATGTCTAGATGTGCGAATTTCATTCAAATGCTACTAGCGTGTTTCACTAAACCGTGTCGAATCTGAATTAAAATTAACGGACGTTACACTGAATAATGAAAACTTAACTAAAGTGATGCCATAATTCATAAACAGGTTTGGAATAATTTTTCAAACTCAATTGAAAGAAATCCTAAATTTCAATACCAATCTACTAACGTGGTTCTTTATATATATATATATATATATATATATATATATATATATATATGTATGTATTTTATTATTAATTTACTATTATTATTTAAAAATAGGTATTCATCGCGACACAGAAATTACCATGTTTTGGAACTAAAAACTACTATTGTGTATCGAGCACT